TCCTCAAATGAAAGTAAGATGATTTACAGATATTGTTAACTTGGAGCTCCCCGGTCATACATTGGTCAAAAACAACTCCAAGATTAACGGCTGACATACAAGGGACAATGGTGTCGCCACAGACAAGAATTTCCCTCAAGGAAGGACGATCTCGAAATCTAGAGTGGATGCACATAAGTTCAGTCTTATTATGGTTTAACTTTAAGCCATTGGAAAGCATCCACCTAGAGATGTCGGTTAGACATTCCTCTAACGATTGTCTAGATTGCACAAGTTTGTCATTGCCCTTAAAAGATATATAGAGCTGAGAATCATCAGCATAGAAATGATAGTTAAAATTGTGTCGCTTAACAATGTCAGCCAGTGGAGAGGTGTAAAGCAAGTAAAGAATAGGGCCCTGTACGGAGCCTTGCGGAACTCCAACATCGAGATTAACAAGGCAGGATGAGCAGTCATTGATATCAACAAATTGCTTCCTGTTAGAAAGGTAGGATCTAAACCAGCTTAACACAACATCACCAATTCCAAACCGATAAGCAAGTCTATCAAGTAGAGTATCATGAACAACTGTGTCAAAGGCAGCTGACATATCAAGGAAAATAAGAATAACACAGTTGCCAGCATCAACTGATTGAAGAATGTCGTTATAGACACACACCAAAGCAGTCTCAGTGCTGTGCATAGCTTTATAAGCCGACTGGAATGAATCGTGAAGATTATGGTCCATTAGATAACTGTTTAACTGAGATGCAATGTTATGGTGTTCTCTTTGCTTACATGCAAGCTTACTATTATCATGGCTATTTTTGTATTACTTCTGTTAGCCGGCGATATTGAAATGAATCCCGGCCCTGTATTGCATAATTTATATTATTTAGTTATATTAATACAAGGAGTCTCAATGTCCAGGAAAAATTTGATGAAAATTCATCATTTATCGTGGACAAAAAAGTCAGTGTATTTGCAATTTCGGAAACCTGGTTGAATGATAAGATATCCGACGATTCTCTAAATATTACCGGTTATCATTCCATCWTTAGAAAAGACCGTGTTAATTCAAGAGGCGGGGGTGTGGCATTGTATGTTGAAGAATCGTTAATAGTAAGTAGGCGGGACGATCTTATTTGCGATGGTATAGAATTGTTGTGGGTTGAGATAAAATTGCGCAAGATTAACTTACTTTGCGGAGTGTGTTATAGACCTCCAGAGAATTCGACTGTAGACACCTCATTGTTTTTCACGAGCTTTCAAAAGACATGTTTGGAATTTTTCTGGAGTTAACATTCTAGAACTAAATAAMGAATTAAAAGAGATAGCTTTGGATTCGATCACTGAAAATATAACGCATATTGATGACATGTATGAATCAYGGTTTAGTCAAGTGAACAATATTATTTGTAAGTTTATACATAGTAATACAGTAACTATTCGTCSACGTGATAAGCCATGGTTCACCTCCAAGATCCGCGCAGCAATTCGTAAACGCGACAGGTTATTAAAAAAGTTCATTAAACAAAAAACAAATACTGCTTGGGAAAACTACAAAGCGCAAAGAAACATCACCACAAGCCTGATCCGTAAGGCTAAAAACGATTATTATATCAAATTAAACAAATAGTTGTCAGGCACTT